CTCAGTGACACTGAAGATCAAAGATTTTTTCCACTTGGTAAAAATTTTAGATATATGATCCATGGACACTTCATTTTAGGTATCTTTACAAATATGTTGTTGTTACTGTTATTGATATTGTTATTGTTATTATTATTTATAATTTATCAACATTACATCCCCGTGGTAGCCCCTCACTCATCTCCTCCCCATCCCACCCTCTCTCTCTCTCCCCTAGTCCTCTGGCAGAGAAAGTCCTCCTCCTCTACTGTCTACCTCTAGCCTATCATGATCAGGCTCCATCATGACTGCCTAAATCCACTTCCACTGTGGGTTAGCTAGGTCACCCCACCAGGTAGAAGTGATCAAGGACCAGAAAACAATTAATATGAAAAGTAATTGTAATGTTCTGAAATAAAGACAATTACAGATTGCATTTTATCATTGGTCATTTCAATATTCAGTGTATGTTTGTAAATGACAAAGAAATAAAACACTGAAAAAATATATTACCCATTTTCTGGTGTCAGAGTAACTGCTCAAAAGCCAAAGCAGCAAACATTTGGTTTCTTTTTAACAAATCACACATGACTACAGGAGAAAATGTTATTAGCACAATATGACACGTACTTGACTTTCACTAGCTTTGCATTCATTTGTACTTAAATTGTAAGAAAAGAATTAGTGAGAAGAAGAAAAGGAACCCATTTTATTACATATGGGAGCACATAGGAAATGTGACATGAACAAAATACTCCTGCTTTTTACATAACAACAATGAGTATATTTCCATATGAATGTTCTGTAGTTTTTATAATTAAACTTATCTAGAAATGTTATCAAAATCTTTTTGGTCTTTAATCCAATTTTTTTCTAATACATATTCAAAAAGTTTCTATGGAAAATGATTTTATTAAAACTCAATTAAGTATACCACTACATTGAGTTTCAATATGAAATAAGAATTTTATTAGAAAATATGAAGATCCTGCATGTTCTGATAATACTTGTTAGAGACGAATGAAGATGACATAGTATTTTAAGTGTCAAGTCTACAAACATGGAGATTGATTTGGTAGAAAATTTTCAAACTGTAGAAATTTGAAAAACAAAGGACATATGGGATAAGAGCGGCTACTTTTCATTATACCAAACATTTTTACTAGGTCCTAAAGACATGTTTTCATTCATTGGTTGGTTGGTTTTGTTTTAACTCTGATCAGAGACTGGGGATAAAGGCCCACAGTTCAGTTCTATCCATTTAATTATCCGGTTATACTTTAGCAGTTATTTTCCTCTTATAGATAGAGTCATGCCCTCCTTTTTACATTCAGCTTTAACTTATAACTTATAAAGCACACTTTGCCTTTCACTCCTTATCTTGTCCAAGTTCAAAATAGTTAAAGACGGAGACCCAGCAAAGACAAGCAATTGCAGCCAGAAATTAGGCAAAAAAACTATGGTTTTAGTCAGACAAATACAAAAGGAATAATTTTACCTCTGTTGGCAACCAGTACTTGAAGAAGGCTTATTTCACTATTTTGTAAAGATACCCATGGCTTATCTCAGACATCTGAAGTATTGAGAGAACGTTACAGTTTTGTTTCTACTAATTAAAGGAAGAAATCCTTGGACAACAATAGTGATACGCTAAGATTTAGGGAGGGAAGAATTCAATCAAGATAACACTGAAGGAGATCTCGGTAGCAGGTCCAACACACTAGTCAACTACAGTAAAAGCAGACTTTTGACTGCAGATTTTGTTATTTCATTTTGGCAAAGATCAATCAGTTTTGCTATGGAAACTTGCATATTTTCCCTTACTTGAACATAGTGTACTGTTCATAAAAATTCATCTAAGAGCCTTGTCCATTTATCTTTCTCCTGTACATTCTGAGTAAAACACATTGTTCATGTGAGAAATAAACCTATAAAATAATACAGTCAGTGAACTAGCAAAGTAAAGAAAGCAGCTAAATATCAGTCAGTTGAACCTTTTGGCTGCTTCTCTGTGGTTAGCTTGCGAGCCCATTCAGAAAACACTGAGCAGTCAGCCTGCAAATGGCAGTTGTGCTTGAGCTGAAAAGTAAGAACCACATGTGCCTCAAGTTGTCTGTAGTGTCAAGTTGTCTTCTCAAGGTATTTTAGCTTGGATTTTCATTTTCTTTATACTTTCTTCATTAACATGTAATTACCAATATGCAGTGTTCAGATCCTTTTGCTACAGAACAACAAGTACCTTCTTTGCCCAGTGAAATTCCAGTGGAATAAGTACAGTAGAAGAAGCCCAGGGCACATTATCTTTTGTCATGAGTGTGGGCAACCTTCATTGCTCTCATGCTTAGGGACATTACGGTTTTCCAAGTCTTTTTCTGACTACTGGTTTCTTATAATTTCATTGTATTAGTAAGACTGATTACCACAAAATCTATTGTCATAATGTTTCATGACAATACAGATGAATTCTGTGTGTTGGAGAGATAAATGAGAATACAGAACAAATAATTTGGGGGTTATTTCCTCTTGTTGCTGTACCCAACTTTACAAACTAGTGATGAGTTAAGCCCAAATCCATTCTGACAGTTCTGTATTTGAGAAACCTATTATACGTGCCTTGACATCTTTAACAAAGTCGTGTCTTCAGAGTTTCATTGTCTATATCAGGTAACCTATGTCCAGATTATGGAATATTTGTGTCATGTGAAATTGAGCCCATGAAATTGTAGGTAGAATAGAGAGTTCTATAACTAAGCAAACAAGTCCTAAAATATAAATTCTTTGAAATTTATTATACTCATCTTATGTTTCAGATTATTATGTGTCAGGATGTTACTCCTCATACAATTGAAATGTGTTGGATATGTTGTTCAATAACTATCAATTATGTTGATTTAGTAAACAATTTATATATTTCAGTTTTGTGTATTACCATTCAAACTTAACTAACAATAGATATGAATTTTATATATTTCTAATGAATGAACATTTAATAAATATGAGATAAAAATACTCCTCATCTTGAAGTCACCTCAACAAATTAGATATTTTATTCACTTTCTTCAGTTTTACTTGTACACATCCCTTCTTTTCATCTTCTTGATTTGCACACAGTGGTTTTGTTTAGTCCATTCAAATGTAATATCATTGTTGAAGATATAATTTCATCTCATGTCTTACTACTTATTACTACTATATGTTAGCAAGACAAAGCCCTTTCCCCATGTGTTTTAACAATCATTTCTTTATTTTTTCTATGTATGGTCATAATGTACACACTACAACACTTGTAACGCAGTATGCAATGAATACTTTGTTACTAAATTAAAGAATGGTTCAAAAGGAAGTCTTAAATAAAACAGTATTTATAATAGATAACTTGTCCAAAATTCATATTACATTATAAAATCCACAACATGCTTGAATAAACTCCAGTAATATCTAGAGGAAACGCCATCGGTATACTTCTGGGAAAATCTTCTAAATTTTTAAATGCAAGACTGGCTGGTATAGAATGATGCATACTCTCAAAGGTGATGCTGTTATTATGTTAGAATGACAAAAACTCGGATCTTAATAGAAAACACATGAAATGAGTTGCAATTTAACAACAGATTTATAAATACTGGTATCAAAAAAACCCTCTTTCTCCATCTTTTTGTATAACCCAAAAAGATGTCAATATAAATTTAAAAATTAATTTTTTTGTTCTCAAATAATATATCCTGATTATTTTTTCTTCTCTGTCTACTCTTTCCAGCCCTTCCCCATTCATAACTTCACTGTTTCTCATTAGAAAATAAACAGGCTTCTAAGGGATATAATAAAATAAAATATACTAAGATGAAACTTAAATGAACACATTGAAATTAGATAAAAACAAACAAATAGAAGGAAACAGCCCAAGAAAAGGCATAAGAAACAGATATAGATAGAGATACTTAATCATTTCCGTACTCAGGAAACCTGTAAGAAAGAGAAAGCCATAATATACACACAATGGACCCAGAAGATGAAAAGAAAGAAAAAATAGAGAATGAAATTTAAAAAAAGAAAAGAGCATGACATGTTAGGAAACAAGGAACTATGAAGATTGCCACTGAATCTGTTTTCTGGTTTTCTATCTCCTGCTGGTCATGCAGCCTACCCTTAGGCATGTCTTGTCTCCCCAGAGAGAATCCCTTAGAGAAATTAAATACCCATTTAAAAGTGGTTATCAATTGGAAATAGCTTTGAGGTTAGGGATGAGAATGTGCCCACTTCTCCTTTCAGCTGTAGACCCCATCTAATGAAAACCCATATAGGCCCTTTGTGTGATGCCTTGGTTTCTCTGAGTTCCTAAGGGCACTGTTCCTGTTGACTGAGATGTCCTTGTTTTCTTGGTGTTCTCTATCCCCTCTGGCTCTTGCACTCTTTCAACAGCTTTTTCCACTAGGTTCTCTTATACTTGAGAGGAAGGATTTGATGAAGACATCCCATTTCGATCATTCACCAGGGTTGTTCGTAGTCAGGACCAGCAGGACTTTGGTGGACAGAAGGGAATAAAAGGCCATATGAAACTTAGAAATGTAGAGACAATTGAAAGAATTTTAGTGTCCTCGGCACAAGAAACACAATCTGGTAGTGGGCAAAATGGAATGCAAGAGAAAGTTTTCACAGTTCTATAATATAATTTCTCATGCTCTGAGAGAGACATGAATAGAAAAAATGTTAATTAAGGTGTGCAGTATGGTCTCTTTTGTTACTTTATTTTATTACTTTTATTAGTTTTATAGCTCTTAGTTTTGAAGATTTAGATCTAAGTATGATTTAGCCTTATTTCATAGAAATGACATCCTCCTTTCATCTGTTGGAAAAGTTAATTTATGTACAGTCCGCCACATACACTGTATAAATATGTGAGGCCGTGTTGAATTGGGAGATAATAGTGTTACTGTGAGTACTTGTATATGCTTTAATATCAACTAGGACATCTTCCTAGCATGACTGCTTCAAAGTAACAAAATATTATTTATTTTTGATAGATGGAATGGATGCTTTTACCAGATTTCTTAAAACTGAATTCAGTGAAGAAAACATTGAATTTTGGGTAGCCTGTGAAGATTTCAAGAAATGCAAGGAACCTCAACAAATTGTCCTAAAAGCGAAAGCAATATATGAGAAATTCATCCAAAATGATGCCCCAAAAGAGGTACAGTGAGGACTGGAAACATATGGAATTTCTTAATACCATTACAGGGTCTCTTTTCACCAAATTGGTCTCCTCATTCATTCTACCACAGAGCTCAGATTTTGTAAAAGCAAAACTGGTTAATTGCAGATTTCTACTTGTTGACAGAATATACCATAATTAATTATGACTTAAAGTATAAAGGCACTCTACAGAGTTAGACCAAGAGTAATTAAACTTACATCATTTTGATTGTTTCTCTAATCTGTATTATCTTAGCAGAAACAACTACTTATTAGAAACTAAAGATCCCTGAAACTGATAAAGATAAGACAAACAAATATAAAAATGTTAAACATGTGTGATGCTTTATGCGGTTGTACTGAGCCAGCAGCATGGTTCAGTTCGTTACAGGTGCTTATCTCCAAGCGTGAAGTCCTACGTTCAATGTGCAGCCCCCACATGGATAAAAGGGAACCAACTCCCTAAAGTTATGCTTTGATCCTCACACAATGTCATGGTACTTGTGTCTCCAAAATAACAAATATAGTTAAAATATGCTTATCTTATATACCTATGAAAGGTTTTGTTCTTCCAAAGAAATTATTTTATCAGTTCAGTATAGGCTAAAAGAAAAGAATTAATAGACATACAATGTAACTCTGCTGTGGCAGTGCTCTAAGTAAAAAGCTATTATTCTTTCCTTTCTTTACAAACTAAATGAATTGATCCTGCAGTGTAGTTGGTAAATTGACTACAAATTTAGCAGATATTGCTTAACTGTCATAAGATACTAAATGGTTTGATGTTTCTATACTGTACTCAATACATCATATTTTGTTTCCAAGGTAGAGCAGGTTTTCTCTCAACATTCAACTAAAAATTAATACAATTGTACTAGCTTTTTGCTTCTGTAACAAATACCTAAGGTCATTTAAATTAAAGAAAAAATTTTATTTATTTATTTATTTATTTATTTATTTATTTGCATTTCAGAGGATATTTCATCCTGTTGCTTTAGGTACTAAAGCAAATCTGTATGTAAAGGCAGAGAAGCATGGCAGAAGAGTGTGCTCACTTTGTGGTAGCTGAAAGAAGGAAGGGGAAGGCAGGGAAGGGAAGGAGATAGAAAGGCAGAGAGGGAGAATTCCATTATTGCCTCAATGCAGAACTTCAATAAAACCAACTTATTTGCATTACATCCTACCCCCTCCCACCCCCAGAGATTCCATCACAGTCCAGTAGTGCTTCAGGGTGTCAACCAAACCTTGATTGTATGACCTTCTGGGAAATCTTTAAGACTGAAGCAACTACATGGCTTGTAATGCAATGCTCTCTGTGTGCTGATGGTATACTAGGAAACCAGTTGTTTATTTAGCAGATTATGGCTACTCAGTGGCAGAAATAAGGTAGCTGCTTGAAAGTATAATATTAGTACCAGACATATCAACTGGAACAAACTTAAAAATGAATAAAATTGTATATTTAAGACACATTCATATGTTGGCACATTTTTTTCTTTGTAGGAAAAATAAGATGATGAAGAAGGCAGCAGGCAGAAGAGAAGGGTCTTATTGATATCACTACTATGCCCCCCAGCTTATCATTCCCTTAACTTAAACACTAACTCCTGAAATTTTTATTTCCCCATTGTGAAAGTGATTGGGTTAAGGTAATGATCGATTGATAGCTACCGCTGAATTATTCAATTGTGCTGTTAGAATAAGCATAATTATTAATAAAGAGCTATGTTAGCCAGCTGAGATACCACCTTAGAATACAATACTGCATCCCTAGACTCTAGGAAGAAATACCGGGGGAACCAAGCACAGCACGCTCCCTCCAATAATGTAATGAGATGGTCTCAAAGATGTTGTATTAGATACCGTATGATTTTCCCCTCCTTCTGTTTATGCAGGTCAACCTTGATTTTCACACCAAAGAAGCAATTGCCAAGAGCATCACACGACCCACTGTCCACAGCTTCGATGCGGCACAGAGCAGAGTGTATCAGCTCATGGAGCAAGACAGTTATACACGTTTTCTGAAATCCGACATCTACTCACATTTGCTGGAAGGACGACCGCAGAGACCAACAAATCTCAGGAGACGATCACGGTCATTTACCTACAATGACTTCCAAGATGTAAAGGCAGATGTTGCCATTTGGCTATGAGTAAAAGTAATTTTTTCTTGTTTTGATGGTAACTGTGTTCATCTGCTTCTAAAATATGGTTCCTGTATAGTAAGAAATGATTACACTTTTAAAATATACCAGGCAAAGTGTTTTTTTTTAAATATAGAAACTTTTGTACTAAAATAAGCCATAGTATATCTTTCAATATATCTTATGAAAATCTATTTAATAGTCTATTCATAATAAAACTCTATTTCTTCAATAGCAGTCAGTAAAAAGATATTAGCAATGCCTTGTAAATTGTTAAAGAAAGTATAAACTTCTCAGTAATGTCACATTCAGTTTGAATTATTTTTCTAGGTATAAACAATGTACTTAGGTAACTGTATATCCAGATGACATTTTACATAATAATCGGTTGGAGCATATAGAAATGATCCATTTTTTAGAATGGGGAAGGACGGACACTTGTTGTTGCATACTAATTCTGCAAGCAGGATACCTGCTTATCACTTCCACTTTTAAGCCAACAACAAGAAATGTCATAAAGACACATTTCTCTCTAGCAGTTAAACAGTTTAATCATAAACCAGGGATATATGTGAGAATGCACTCTGCAGTCATACCCACTCCAACTGATGAACATTTCCCATTAGACAGAGCAACACTCCCGATGACAGGAGCATGTTCATATCAATGTATGTCTACATGTACACTAAAGGGACTGCATTCTCTCCCAGATATGTGCATGCCACTGAAATAACACCAGTCAGTGCTTGGGTGATGACAACGACCTGCTTCTCACACTATTTATGCCTCAAAATTGAAAATTTAAAGTTGAAGTAGAAATCTAAACTGTGAGGTGGTGAAAATCTAAATACACAAACCTGACAACTTTGACATCAGCCAACCCTTAATACTATATTTGTATAATTCTTATCTAATACTGTATTATGTGATAAGATTATCCTAATAAATATGTTTCTATATTACAGAAATACTTCATTACAATGTTTTGAATAGTCTGTAAATGTAAGCATTAAAAATGACATGTTTTCAGATCAGTAAAGGCTATCATTTTCATTGAAATAAATAACATATTTAACCATCTCTAATAATAAACTGCTCAAACATGTTTATCAACAGTTAAGTTCATTTCACAAGATCTCTCCAAATACCTCCGTGTTCTTATGTTTGAATTACACTGAGACAGGAAATCTTACTCATCTATTGTGTCATTAAATATTAAAGTTCATTTTTAAATGCAAAAACGAACTATAAAGAGCCACTGAGGTGATTTTTTATTTTTCCTAGGGTTATTGCTTATAAGAAACATCTCTGTTCCATGGAATATAATCATTTTATACACTGAACTAAGATGGCACATGCTTTCTAATCTGCTTATGGAGTTTATGGTTTGCTTTAATAGCATTGTTATGGAAAATATACACACGCACACACACGCACCCCGCACACATACAAATCGGAATTTACCAAGTGACAATCGAATCACACTTGAGCCTCTGAGGACCTGGTACTCTGTACTAGAGGCTGGAGTCTCAACATAGAGTAGTCCCAGCAGGAACAACCGACTGGTTTCTCTGTTCACAGGCAGGGATCTTCAGTCTACCCAACTTCGCAACTGGACCTGGAAACTTCCTAGAAAACGGCCGGTTTGTTTTCCAGTATGAAAGTTTGGAAATCCTGTTTCTACTAGCTGTAGAAGTAACGATGGGGTAAATCAACTTGCTGGCAAGAGGGAAGGCCAAGCGAGTAAAAAGTGGGAGAACAAAACTTTCTTCTAAAATAATTCTTAAAATCCCACAGTCTGACAAAAGGTGCTACCCTCGATGGAATGATCTTCCCATATTAAACAGGGAAATTCAGGTGAGTCTTCCAACTCAGGCAGGTCTTATCTGTTGAAAGTAACATAACTACTAAGCATGAGAAGTTGTAATATTTTTCAAAATGAATCAATTTGTGTTATATGTTTAGTTCACTGTACAAGTTACCTGACAAACACAACTTGACCATAGGAATTATTTCTTTTGGCTCACGGTTTCAGTCCATAGTCCTTTGCTCCATGGATCTTGGGCCCATTATGAGGCGAAACATCATGGTTGTGGGAGCATGAGGCAGAGTCTATATCCATTATGGTGGATTGGAGAGAGAACAGGAAAAGGGCCCACTTGTAAGATTTAAAGCCAGGCTTCCATTGACCTACTTCTTCCAGCAAGAAACCCTCTTAGAAAATAACATCAGCAACTAGGGACTAAGCAGTCATGATCCTACAAACAACATTTCATGCAGGATTCTTAATTAAACTATAAACTATTTAATGACTTGTGTTGAAAATATAACATTATGTACAGACTTCAAAGACTTTTCAATCTCAGATCATTATAACCTAGAAACATAAATAAAACAGTGCTTAGACAAATGTCATTGTCATCTCACAGGCTTACTGTTGAATGTTTTCACCCTTTCTACTTCTTTCTGAACTCTGGCTGGCTGGTTCAACTAAGCTGCTCAGCTTCAAAACTCCTCTCCAAGCTGATTGATTCAAACTGGCTTCTCTCACATCTCACTGAAATGTTCTCCTTAGTCCTCATGCTAACTTTGGTAATATGTTCTGAACTCCTGGCTCGTTCTGCCTTCACCTGTTGTCTAGCTTGTTCTCTCTCTGCCACCTATCTTTGTACAACCGTTCCAGTAAAACTGCCTATCCTTGTACTCTCTCAAATAGCCTTTCTTTCCTGTGGTCTTCTTGCAAGTGGTAGGCTTATATTATTCTATCAGTTCTTTCTCTGATTCATCACTTTGTTTACCCTTCAATTAGACATTACTTTCAAACATAGTTGCTTTCTTCTACAAACTAAGTTTACCTTCATGGCTTGTAATTCATGGTGTGTACTTAGATCTTGTCTGTATTCTAGTCAGAAGGATAAAGGTGTGTGGCATGTCAGCATTCCACCTGGATCACACAGACCTAGAAAGTTTTTGAATGTGGTCAGAGCATTCATGTTGCTGGCTTAAAAATTCCTCTACGCTAATGTAAGAAGAAAATAATCTATAGCCAGCACAGAGTTCTAACTGAGTGAATGGCAATGAACATAAAATGATCTCCCTCAATGGCTCTTTGATTCTCTAGATATTTAAGCAACATGTACAAAACTTCAGTGTTTTTATAGACAAGAGCTTAGGACTTCTAGTTACTTCTGCTCTTCGCCTTTAAGGAAAATATGACAGATCTTACTGAGACTGGCAGCAGGAACAAAGTCTGTATAGGTCCAAGACAGACAGGGTCCCCATACGGGGGGAGAGAAAGAAAGAGAGAGTGAAGTGGTCAGGTGCTCCCATCACTAATCAAGAGGTTATCCCCAACTGACAATCACTTGCATATGAAGACATATTTAATGAACAATTTTATTTCAGTGATACTTTTGATTACACAAGTATTAATGGCACATGGCATAAGCTTAATAACATATCTTAGATGTCATTTTTCTGATTTGTTTTTATTTAGACACAAAGAATCAAACAATAATAGTGAACTTGCAAAGATGAATAAAACAGTGCCATCTATATAAAGGATAGCATGCCTGATGGTCTTCTTATATGAATACACACATGTAGCTACTATTTCACTATCCCATCTCAAACATTTGCAAATATCTTGCCTTGCTTTCGTCTAAAAGTATAAAAATTATCTTCCCACAACAAAGCACCAACTTCTTGCTCTTTTATTCTGCTTCACAATATGTCATATTACCCTTTTTAAGTACTATGTTAAACACCAACTTGAGAGTCTGCAGCAGGAAGATAGTAAATTAGTGGTTAACCTAAGCTGCATAAAAATACTGATTGAATAGCAGATTTAAAGAAAGTCTTCAGACTTTTGCTTAGATTTTGGAATCACTCTTATTATGTGACTCATTATAAAACCACTTTGATTAGGAAAGCCTAGAATTTAGGATGCCTTCAAAGAAAATTACTTAATATACAGACTATAGAAGTAAAATTTGTATATACAAGTCAAAATCAGAATGTTAAGAAACATGATAAACAATATTGTTCAAAATAATGAAATACATGATACTAAAATTATAAAATAAATTTATTAGAAAAGTCATCCCTCCTTAAAATTATATACGTTGATCCCATTATGAACCTTTATATGTGACACATACAACAAAAAGCATTATCAAAAGTAAACAAATGTAAACATGAGCATGTTCAAACCAACAAGCTTGCCTTTTGTCCCGAAATTATTCTTTTGATGATCAGCCCAGAATTTGTTTTGTCTCTTCTCACTTTTTGTCAGTTTTAAATTTCCTTCTGGTAGATATTTTCCAAGAATTTACTAATAAGAAAAGTTTCAAGTTACCATACACTTACATAGACAGCTTAGCTTTTTTTAAAGCATAATAATAATTATAATTATTCTTTCATCTACAGAATAGTATTATTTTTCCTGACGTTGTGCTAGAACAAAATCCATTAGGAAAACATTCGAGTTAACATATTAATGCATATATTTTCCTAAGGATTTTAAGAGAAAATTGAGATTGGGATGGTAAGTGCCACAAACTTCAATAAATAGTAATTAATGAACTATGCAAAACAATTGCCAGGTTTTAAAAATCATCTGAAATGATCCATTATCTTAATCTCTCCTGTTGCTAATATTATTGATTATGTCTATTCCATAATGTCAGTACCTTACAGAGGCACCAAATTATTTAATATACATGTATATATGGTTTTATACATAACACTAAATTGTTTAAAAATTTAGGAGTAACTGGAGCTAGAAAAAAAAATCACTCAGCGTTGGGAGCACTGGATGCTCTTTCAGAAGACCTAGATTCAATTTCCAGCACACAGATGGTGGCTCACAACTGTCTGAAACTCCAGTCTCAGGAGCCTTGATGTCTTCTTTGGCCATCTAAGGCCACCAAGAGTGCATGGGATGCAAAGATAAGCATACAGGCAAAATATTCACACACATTTAATTAATTGAAGAAAAAGCTATTCAGGGGAAAATTAAATTAGGAGTGATAGTTTCTTACATTGTGGAATCAAAAAACACATCTCAAAAGACAAAACTTAGTGATTACTATAGCTGACGTGTC